AGGTACGATGCACACAATCAGTCAGGAGCCTGATGGATGTCTTCACCTGATCACCTCCTAAGCCCAGCCATGACGTGCTGGGCACCTGTCTCAACCAGGGTACATTGGGGCACATCATGGAGGTACGATGCACACAATCAGTCAGGAGCCTGATGGATGTCTTCACCTGATCACCTCCTTAACCCAGCCATGACGTGCTGGGTACCTGTCTCAACCAGGGTACATTGGGGCACATCATGGAGGTACGATGCACACAATCAGTCAGGAGCCTGATGGATGTCTTGACCTGATCACCTCCTAAGCCCAGCCATGACGTGCTGGGCACCTGTCTCAACCAGAGTACATTGGGGCACATCATGGAGGTACGATGCACACAATCAGTCAGGAGCCTGATGGATGTCTTCACCTGATCACCTCCTTAACCCAGCCATGACGTGCTGGGTACCTGTCTCAACCAGGGTACATTTGGGCACATCATGGAGGTACGATGCACACAATCAGTCAGGAGCCTGATGGATGTCTTCACCTGATCACCTCCTAAACCCAGCCACGACGTGCTGGGCACCTGTCTCAACCAGGGTACATTGGGGCACATCATGGAGGTACGATGCACACAATCAGTCAGGAGCCTGATGGATGTCTTCACCTGATCACCTCCTAAACCCAGCCATGACGTGCTGGGCACCTGTCTCAACCAGGGTACATTGGGGCACTTCATGGAGGTACGATGCACACAATCAGTCAGGAGCCTGATGGATGTCTTCACCTGATCACCTCCTAAACCCAGCCATGACGTGCTGGGCACCTGTCTCAACCAGGGTACATTGGGGCACATCATGGAGGTACGATGCACACAATCAGTCAGGAGCCTGATGGATGTCTTCACCTGATCACCTCCTAAACCCAGCCATGACGTGCTGGGCACCTGTCTCAACCAGGGTACAATGGGGCACATCATGGAGGTACGATGCACACAATCAGTCAGGAGCCTGATGGATGTCTTCACCTGATCACCTCAAACCCAGCCATGACGTGCTGGGCACCTGTCTCAACCAGGGTACATTGGGGCACATCATGGAGGTACGATGCACACAATCAGTCAGGAGCCTGATGGATGTCTTGACCTGATCACCTCCTAAACCCAGCCATGACGTGCTGGGCACCTGTCTCAACCAGGGTACATTGGGGCACATCATGGAGGTACGATGCACACAATCAGTCAGGAGCCTGATGGATGTCTTCACCTGATCACCTCCTTAACCCAGCCATGACGTGCTGGGCACCTGTCTCAACCAGGGTACATTGGGGCACATCATGGAGGTACGATGCACACAATCAGTCAGGAGCCTGATGGATGTCTTCACCTGATCACCTCCTAAACCCAGCCATGACGTGCTGGGCACCTGTCTCAACCAGGGTACATTGGGGCACATCATGGAGGTACGATGCACACAATCAGTCAGGAGCCTGATGGATGTCTTCACCTGATCACCTCCTAAACCCAGCCATGACGTGCTGGGCACCTGTCTCAACCAGGGTACATTGGGGCACATCATGGAGGTACGATGCACACAATCAGTCAGGAGCCTGATGGATGTCTTGACCTGATCACCTCCTAAACCCAGCCATGACGTGCTGGGCACCTGTCTCAACCAGGGTACATTGGGGCACATCATGGAGGTACGATGCACACAATCAGTCAGGAGCCTGATGGATGTCTTGACCTGATCACCTCCTAAGCCCAGCCACGACGTGCTGGGCACCTGTCTCAACCAGGGTACATTGGGGCACATCATGGAGGTACGATGCACACAATCAGTCAGGAGCCTGATGGATGTCTTCACCTGATCACCTCCTAAACCCAGCCACGACGTGCTGGGCACCTGTCTCAACCAGGGTACATTGGGGCACATCATGGAGGTACGATGCACACAATCAGTCAGGAGCCTGATGGATGTCTTCACCTGATCACCTCCTTAACCCAGCCATGACGTGCTGGGCACCTGTCTCAACCAGGGTACATTGGGGCACATCATGGAGGTACGATGCACACAATCAGTCAGGAGCCTGATGGATGTCTTCACCTGATCGCCTCAAACCCAGCCATGACGTGCTGGGCACCTCAACCAGGGTACATTGGGGCACACAGAAAATGATTTGTTAGTCATTGGGACAACTTCACTTGAATTAACAAATTTCTCTTATTTCATCTGTATTTTATTTAATATTTTTGTTATTTCTGCATACAACACTATTTTTAACAAAATAAATCCCCTCAAACATTTTGAAAAACAATGTTTTACAATTTTATTTAAAAACTAAGGGTGAAATTGAGTGAATCATGTATTACGCTATAACAGTATTCTCGCCATGTCACAGCAGCAATATTCCAGCCACATCACAGCAGAAATATTCTCGCCATATAACAGCAGCAATATTTTAGCCAAATCACAGCAGAAATATTCTCGCCATATAACAGCAGCAATATTCCAGCCACACCTCAACAGCAATATTCTCCCCATATAACAGCAGCAATATTCTCCCCATATAACAGCAATATTCCAGCCATACCTCAACAGCAATATTCTCCCCATATAACAGCAGCAATATTCTTGCAAAAAAACAGCAGCAATATACCAGCCATACCTCAACAGCAATATTCAAGCCAAATAACAGCAGCAATATTCTCCCCATATAACAGCAGCAATATTCCAGCCATACCTCAACAGCAATATTCTCCCCATATAACAGCAGCAATATTTTTGCCATATAACAGCAGCAATATTCCAGCGATACCTCAACAGCAATATTCCAGCCATATCTATAACAAATCTGTGGTGACTAAAATTCGCGGAAATTTGCAGATCCGCGGAAGATTCTCATCCCTGCATATAACAGCAGCAATATCTTGCCATATCACAGTTGCAATATTCTCCCCATATAACAGCAGCAATATTCCAGCCATACCTCAACAGCAATATTCCAGCAATATCTATAACAAATCTATGGTGACTAAAATTCGCGGAAATTCGCAGATCCGCGGAAGATTCTCATCCCTGCATATAACAGCAGCAATATCTTGCCATATCACAGTTGCAATATTCTCCCCATATAACAGCAGCAATATTCCAGCCATACCTCAACAGCAATATTCTCCCCATATAACAGCAGCAATTTTCCAGCCATACCTCAACAGCAATATTCTCCCTTTATAACAGCAGCAATATTCCAGCCATACCTCAACAGCAATATTCTCCCCATATAACAGCAGCAATTTTCCAGCCATACCTCAACAGCAATATTCCCGCCTTATCTTTAACAAATCTGTGGTGACTAAAATTAGCGGAAATTCACGGATCCGCGGAAGATTCTCATCCCTGCATATAACAACAGCAATATCTTGCCATATCACAGTAGCAATATCCTCGCCATATAACATCAGCAATATTCCAGCCATAGAACAGCAATCGCTTTGTTGCCGTCCCGAATGAAAATGTGGCAGGGTTTTACCATACATACTTTATGGGAATTGTCTCTTGTTTGGAATTTGTGTTGCTATTTCTTTCGAAAGCTCGTACATATTCCATAGTTTGGTTGTAGTAGTATATCATTTTGCATTAGGCCCATCTGTTTTTACGTCAGAATAAGTGGGTTTGCTTACAAACAAGAGAAAAGTCTGGTCATGTGATAAGACTACACCTGCAGTGTGGTCACTGGAGCAGAAACTTCCCTCGTGGAATAAGCTTGTGGGTTTAGAAACAATGCTTCAGAACAGTTAACAGTTTTCCCTTTCAATGCTGAGTGCAGGGCATTTTGCTATGAAGCGGGTGGGGATTGAACCACCAACCATCTGCTCTCCATGCACATGTTCTATTGACCCGTGAAGATCCGGGGTAGAACAGGTCTTCAGCAACCCATGCTTGCCGTAAAAGGCGACAATGCTTGTCGTAAAAGGCAACTAACAGGATTGGGTGGTCAGGCTCGCTGACTTGGTTGGTGCATGTCATCGATCCCAATTGCGTGGATTGATGCTCATGATATTAATCACTGGATTGTCTGGTCCAGACTCGATTATAAACAGACCGCCGTTATATAGCTGGAATATTGCTGAGTGCGGCGTTAAACAACAAACCACATATTCTATCCACTTGTCCACATAGGCCGTCCAACAAGAATCGGTGTGACGTCAATCCCAGCATGCTTCACTTCAGTTGTTGTGATGTTGAAGAGTTATCTTTCTTTAGTTATTGCAGCCATATCTCATCAACACAAACAACATAAAGAACAGGGAGAACAAGAATGGATCCCTCAACCGATCAGGGATCTGAATAGTGGTGGGACAATACACCCATGCATCGGTGGATCGCGATATTTTACTTCCCAATGCAAGAATCGATCATAGTCCCACACCACATAAGTAAAAAATATCGATTCATACCTGATAGCTGGAATATTGCTGAGTGCGGTGTTAAACAACAAACAAACAATAATAGCCGTTACACCAAACACTAATTAGTAGTAAGAAATAGTAGTGAAAAAGTAAATATTTTCATCCACTGAGCCATACTTGACTGTAAATCGTCAGTGTGCCAGGTATTTGACTATCCTGTCTGTGAAAAATATGTATTGGATCGCAGTTGGTGTAAGGTCCCAGCCCTAGATCAGAACCAGGTCTCCAGTGTGGCAAATGGACACTTCAACCACTAGACTACCTAAGTATCAATCAAAAGCCCAGCTGCAAGCTTGATCAGACAAACCACAGCAAATTTATCAAAATGAAACGTGGCATGCATAATACTTTTCATCTCGACTTCGCGTCTCTGCCTCCATTGACAGTACTTATTATTAACAGTGCTCAGCTTTGTTTAAAAAAACATGTACCAAGGCAACCTGTTCTTGAAAAATTAAAAAAACTCAACCTAATATTTATGTCAACATGCACCTGGTGGAAGTTGAATCAAGTTCCTTAAGTCGAGCCTGATTACGTGAGTGTGACTCACCTTGTTTGACTGCTGTTCTGACACACAGCACAGGGACGCTGTAGATCTTCTCCAGGTACTGCTTGATGTCCAGGATACTCATCCTGAAGAGGCAAAGTAAGACTGGTTAACACAACAGTTTTGTTATCAGAATACCGTATTCGTTGAATAAGCGCCCCGCTCTAATAAGCGCCCTCGGCGATATTTGCTAATATATTGGCAAGTAAACAATCCCAATTAGCACCCCTTCCGATTGATCAATGTACGCAAGACTTATTTATTCGTCTATAATATGCACTCGTGTGTTATATGCACCCTTAATTATGGGCAATTAAATTCTGGAAAAATACATCTGTCATATTTAAACAGTCAGGCCGTCAGCATAAACCACAAAATTTATCTTTCAACTCTGTTTTTCCACCAAAATAATATTCTAATAAGAGCCCCCTATTTCTAATTTTGAGAGCGCCCTGGGCGCTTATTACGTCAAATACGGTACCTCTAATGTTATGTGAGGAAACAGTTGGGTAAGTACGGCTGGCTAGAAAGATTGACAATCAGAATTATCGTCGATGGGAAGAAATATGAACAATTATCAATATGTAATTGTTGTCATCGATAATAACTTACATAAACTATAGCGATGAAATAAAGTTTAGATTTACCGAAACAGACTTGTTATTGTCAATTGTCAAAGATGGAAACTGTTCTTGTTATATCTCAAATGTCCACAAAGAAATTTATGTATAAATGTGTCACTGAACACCAGTAGCGGGATATCTGTTGATTTCTTATGAGACTTTCTTGCATATTTGCTTAAAGTTACTTCTCTACAATTGATATATAGTTAGCGATTATCGATCTCTATAGCACATCTCCCTGAAACAGCATAGCTTGCTGTAGACCTATTCTAACTTGTTATCACACATGTTGTTCTATCAGCATTATCTCACCCTTATTGTATAATGCAGTAAAGTGATCATTCCTTCACTGGCTCTGTAATTTGCCACAGCTGGTCGGCTGTTCTTGGAATCCATGCATACTTGACACCTTGCCTGTTTGACAGCCTCAGTATACACTAGTGACTAGTGTTGGGAACCAACCTCTGAAGTGGATCATGCGTTCAGGTTGTGTTACCTTAGTAGTTGGTTGGTTTGTTGTTTTACGCTGCACTCAGCAATATTCCAGCTATATGACAGCGGTCTGTAATTAATCGAGTCTGGACCAGATAATCCAGTGATTGAGATCATGAGCATCGATCCACGCAATTGGGATCGATGGCATGCATCAACCAAGTCAGCGAGCCTGACCATCTGATCCCGTTAGTCGCCTCTTACGACAAGCATTGTCGCCTTTTAAGGCAAGCATGGGTTGCTGATGACCTATTCTACCCCGGAGTGAGTGAGTGAGTGAGTGAGTGAGTGAGTATGGTTTTATGCCGCTTTTAGCAATATTCCAGCAATATCATGGCAGGGGACACCAGAAATGGGCTTCACACATTGTACCCGTGTCGGGAATCGAACCCGGGTTTATGGCGTGACGAGCGAACGCTTTAACCACTATCTCCATGAGTTTATCAGTTTGCAAGTGGGGACAGAAGTTACATTTATCTGTTTACAACTTACCCAAACCACATATTTTCTGTCTTTCAGTTTTTAAACCCTGCCAATCCAATACTCCCATGGTTGCAAAATGAATTTTTCAAGGAATATACAGCGCTCCAGATAATTTTTTGAGCAATTGAGTTTTTACTTGATGGTTTCTATTTTAATTGGGTTATTACATTTTTCATTGGGTAACCAATATTTTTTCACTCATCTATTCATCACTCTATTGGGGTTTTCCCAAAATGAGTAAACATTTTGAGATATTTAATAAAATGAAATAATGTTTTAGATGTATATAACGGTTCTAAATATAGGCTTGACTCGGAAAGTAAATTAGCTCGTAATTGTGTTTTGGAAATTATCTCTGCATGCATGCTCATGTTGTATGCATGCTGAAAAAGCTCTGTTGGGTATTTACGCGGGCTGTTTTAAACATTTGAGCTTTTCATTGAATGCATGCATTTCTGTACGCGAGTTATTTGAAAGTAATTGGGTTTTGAATATTTTGGGGGGATATTTTACGCAAATACGCAGCTTATCTGTAGCTCTGAATATATGCTGATAAAATACATAACTTGTTATTTCATTATCAATTTTCTGTGATGTATAATCAGGTTTTGGTCAACAGTTAAGCTAATAATACAATTGATCCCTAAACAAATATTACCAAAGAAGGCAACACAACAAACAATATTAAAAAAATGGAATGCAAAATGAAATCCCAACATAGTTCCTCTGAACCCAGGACAATAATCCTCCAACGCTGCAACCCGACTACCAGCTCCTATTACACATGATCAGCTTCCTACATCGTTAACGAATGACCTGACCAGGTGTCAATGACGGCCTCACAGTCCCACCTGAGCCGCTAATGAGTGCTGGCTTTGTTACTGTACTCGGGTCATCGTCAGTCTCATGAGTTGTCTTACTCAGTCAACCCAGGTGTATACACTGTCATCTCACCTTTTGAACAGCAAGACAAAAACACAACCCAATGCCTGTGCAGGTCAGGCTATAGGACCTGATCAAACAATGGGGAGAGAGTGAGATGGACTTAGTGCCACTTAACTGGCTAAATCCATAAATCCAAATTACAAAATTGTTGAATAAAATTTTAAACTTTTAAAAGGGCTCTTCCACGTCTGTTAAGTTGATAATTTCATAACTTCAAACATCCACACCTCCCCCCCAACCCCCAGCCCCTTTGAAATTTACCAGTAAAAAATCATTCTTATTCTTTATTCACCCAACATACAAATATTTTCTGTAATCATCAAGAAACTTAAAAAAAATCATGTTTTAATACTTGTATTCATAGTTTTATTTCCACTCAATCTGTTGACCTGGTGATTAAAAGTAAAGGTGCCTTGTTAGCCTATGTGATAGGACAGCCAATCGTGCTGGTGTAGCACGTTTCAGAAGCAATCCATTTTGGTGAAACTCATAATCAAGGCAAAGTTGGGATCAGGCCCTAACCGGCAGATCCTGGCATGTCTAAGGAGCACAACTCTGTACAACAAACCACAAAGCCTAATTCACTGGGTCACTCTTGTAGACAATGAGGTGAGGTAAGGTTTAAAGGGGCTTAATGTCATGTTCAAGATGATTGCACATATATAACGATGTCTGTCTGTGTGTGTGTGTCTGTCTGTGTATCTGCTTGTACTAGTCTGGACTAATGCCTATTTTATAGTTCTAACCCACTGAGATACCATGCCACATTTTAACATGAATATCCCACTCAGATACAGTATACTGACTCTGAGCCGACCAGTCCTTGTTTTAGCCCCATAATGCTGAGCGTCGGGGAGAGTAACAACAAGCACCATCTTTTAGTATGACACGGCCACCTCCCCCCCCCACCCCGATCTTCCGCTCTCCAGGCAGACACTCACTCCACCACTAGACAACAGTGGTGGTCTTGTTGACTGAAGTACAGAAGTAATATATACAGCTTTAGTCACCAAGTAAATCTGATTTCATACATTACGCTAGATTACAGTCTAAAACAAATGGGGATAATGAAATCCATTTAAGTTAACCACTGGCAAATTATTGCAGAAACTGTTTTATCCAATATGACAAAGCTACCAATAAAACATCCAAATCATATTACCTGTTATGATAACATTTGGCATGAACTCACTTACTGCCATGAATCATAGCCAAACAGCCTGAAGGTGCAGCTGAATTACATTCAAGCAGTGTTCCCGTCTACTGGTAATAACCAGTTTAATACCAATAAAATTAGGCCTAGTTCATGTGACTGTCAGTCCCTGTGGACTGGCAAATAAAGTACCTTATAAATCTTTGTTGTTAAACAAAACATCTGCGATATTCATATAAATATATTTTCTGAATCAAGTCTTCTTGTCTGTTACCAAGGGTTCCCCTTGTCTATTTATTTTTAGAGAGAGAGAGAGAGAGAGAGAGAGAGAGAGAGGGAGAGGGAGAGAGAGAGTTGTGACTGATGTGTAGATTTAACAAAGTTAACTTCAGAGATGATGTTATTGCTTCAGCAAAATTAGGGGGGGCTGGTAATTTTTAGAGTTTCCAGTCCACAAGGACTGGCAGTTTGAAAAGCAAGGCTGAATACTGCATTCAAGCCCAATCATCGGTCATATACCGGCAGTCATCCGGAGACACCTGTTATTAGTCATTTCATAAGATGTATGACGTTAATTCTAATACTCCCAGACATGTAACAGAAACAGAGTTAATTGCACAGAGCTCTTTCTCCGTGGTTTCAGTTACTCGAATCACGACACAATGACGTGTGATAATTGGATTTTCGTTAATAATCCGGACCCAACACCAGCTGAACAAAACCTTCAATTCCAACCACACGAGATGAGATCCTGGCATTCATGCAACCCATCTCTACCTTCAAGTGTGGAGAGGTCAGAATAAGGGCAGAGAACTCCCATCACCAATCAATGGTCAGTGTATGTGGCCAAACCCCATTACATAACCCCAAACTGCCCAGTAATGTAATTACACGGTAGTCAGGGGGATTATATCAGCTTGATCAAGTTATCAGTAAGAGAGGGATCGTACGGAATACAATGAAATCATATGTCAGAGGCTTGATAATTTGTGCTAATGTCTCAAACACGGTATTTTCTCGGGTGGTGACCTCAGCTGACTAGCCATGTTGTGACGTTGGCATTAAAGTCGGTTAATATTGCCTACACCTCTAGGTATGGACATTGCAGGTACGGTCGCTGAACGCTACAGACAGGGAAACATCTCGGGGAGTTGGTCTTAGTGGTGTTAGATTCGGAGCCAAATTCAGGATTTTCTTGGACTTGTTTGGATATCTCTGCCATGATGCAACGAAGGAGGCTGACGATGATGAATGAAGATGCGGCACGGGATCGAAGTCAAACTGTGGCCACGTCCCAAAACAAGCATTACACCATGGTCATCAACTACAAGAAGGTACTGCTGTGTGTAGAATCTGTAGCTTTAAACTAACAGCCTTTCTTAATCACGATATAGTATTTTAAACTAAGAGCCTTTCTTAATCACGATATATTATTTTAAACTTACAGCTTTTCTTAATCATGATATATATTCTTTTAAACTAAGAGCGTTTAACCATGACATATTCTTTTAAACTAATAGCCTTTATTAACCATGACACATCCTTTAAACTAATGGCCTTTATTAACCATGACATATTCTTTTAAATTAATAGCCTTTATTAACCATGACATATTCTTTTAAACTAATAGCCTTTATTAACCATGACATATTCTTTTAAACTAAAAGCCTTTATTAACCATGACATATTCTTTTAAAACTAATAGCCTTTATTAACCATGACATATTCTTTTAAACTAATAGCTTTTATTAACCATGACATATTCTTTTAAACTAATAGCCTTTATTTACCATGACATATTCTTTTAAACTAAGAATATTTAGTAAGGATCAGATTATGGATTTATGGATGAACAACTTCTTTATTACAATTAAGACCGATGTTTCGCTGTAGATTCTAACACTGTTATCAAGTCTAACCTACACTGAAACTTCACTCTTAATTGTAATAAAGAAGATGTTCATCCATAAATCCTATCCTGTCTAAATGCCTATCAAAGAAGTTAAGAGTATTTATTAAAATTCCATATTCTTTTAAACTAACAGCCTTTCTTAACTATGACATATTATTAGAGCCTTACCAAACATGACACATTTCTTTCTGACTGAACACTGTTGAAGGTGTGAATTCACCTTATGCTGAATTGGAAAATTTCATTAATTAACCTTTAGCCTGCTGAATTGTTTTCACACTTCTTAGCCCTGCCTGCTGGATTAATTTTAGCATAAGGCGCCGTAAGGAGGGTGGGTGATTTCAAACAGTTGGTGCTTCATTATACAAGGGCCAATTGAAGAAATATTTTGCACATTTATTCCTGATAGAAAAATACACATTGCTATATAAAAAAATCCTGATGTTTTCAATCATACCAAGGTTAAGACCAAAACGAACACAAAATTTGTAAATTTTCTTGAACTTACCTGAATTACGTTATTGAAGGTGGTTTATGTTTCATGTTAGGAACCTTTCTAAATCGTTAAATTTGTGCAAATTGATTTCAATAATCAGATCTCCGATATCTTAATTTTAACTGAGTATAAATTCGATGTTTTTAACTGGTAAATAACAGCGCGGTGGTAAATTATGAACCATTTATGTAATTTATTATCAAAACGTTAAACACAAAAAAAACTAAATTTTCGAGGTCGCCATGTCAGTTGCGGAAATACGAACATTCGAGTTAATCTAACATGTCACGTTATCAAATTTGCAGGAAACAATAAATGACTCATAAATATTCACCAATCCTTATTTCAAGTGTTTTGGTTGAATATTTACAATATACGAAAATACAAATACCATGTCATGATGTTAGCAGAAGTTCGAACATCAAACATGGCGCGCTTCGCCCGACCTCGGCATAACTTATTGCTATTTTAATGTCAACAAAGTTTACACTGTCTTCATGTATATGCCTTGGCGAAAGTTGACGATCTTCTTAATCGAAGATTGTTTCATTTGTCATTTTCCGTTTAATATGACGAAAGAAAAATGAAAATAAAGATCGTAAATTCTGACAGCAATATTTCAGTTTGAGCAAAGGTCACCGGATGTGATGTCACAGACAGGGGTAGTCTGCTGATAATTTTTCGAAACAAAACAATTACAGTCAATTTTAAAATATTTCGCCTGTATTATACAGAATAAACACAAATCACAACATATTATCAGTAATCACCACTAACATGAAATTACAAAGTGATTTTCACAATATAATTGGCGTATTTTTTTAATCCGTTGGAACTTGCATGCTCCCGTGACCCGGAAACGGGAGACGATGAATCAACACGCCACATGCAAGTTTCTCGGTATCTTTTATTTGAACTTTTGTTGATATATAAGGATCACCATTCCATGTTACGTTGAATATAAAGTGATATGATTCATGTATCTGCGATGTACATGCTGATGACTTTGTTTTCACTATAATAATTATGTGTGTGAAGCAATGTCAATAGAAATCGTCGATCGGCAACGATCACACCCAACAACAGGTGCGCGAAAATAGGCGTGACAAAACGTGTTTCAAAATAGCATTCATGCGATGCCGAATATGATAGGATATACGCAGGTGGGTGATGTATATATATATAAAAATACGATATACATATTTTCAGTGTTAGTTTCTAATTAAATGTGGGATATTTAAATATTTTTTCCTTTTATATTACATTTATCGATTCTAGCATGATTTTACAACAATTCACGGATCATCTTAAAATTTATTCCATCAATATAGAGACTTCCATGATTGCGTATTGATGATAGATTTGTTAATGTTTAACTATTTACATCTGTTCACAGCTTCTAAAATATTAAGTTATATTTAGTATCTATTTTTTCCACAATAATTATGTGTATGGATACTAAATATTGATCAACAGGTCAATGCATCAGCACAGTGTAACTGATCAGACTTTAATTATTATCTTTAGTTTAAACATATTTTATTCAACAATTGTTATCTTTCACCTGAACATAAATTATGTGAATAAGTAACTATTTGATGTCAAGACATTAATGTGTATGAAGTTGTTTGTTTCCAAAAAACTAATTCTTAAATATAATTGTAATATGAATACGATACATTAATTTCCTGTAACAGAACATGATATTTTTGATTGTTTAATCACAAGAACCAGGGTGGCACCTAAGCTGGTGAGTTAGCCATATATTTATAAGAGAATGTTATCTTTTGAAAAAGGAAAAGGGCACATATACATACATTGACAATTCTTGCAGTTCTGTTCTGTTGGAGAAATGTACATGGAAATATCCTACCTTATGTATTTTTTCAGGGTTCTCACCAATGAAATAATGTGTAATTAGTGTGGCAGGACTTTATAGGTTTGTTGCAGTATGCTCTTGTGTGCTTGACAGTGACACTCATGCATGTCCCCTGAAGGAACATGAACCATTGTGAAATGTGATCAACAGGTTTTTGTCTTCAGTCAATATAATGTACAAAAATTCAAAATAAATGCAGATCATCACCAGCTTTGGATCTGACATCCTTGGTCATTTGATGGGTTTCTGAATATACAGTCAGTAGAGGTCCTTATGTTCTGCGTGTTTCAGCCTTCTGGGTGGAATGAAAAGAAATGTCCCTGTATACATAATTACCTTTGTCAGAGGTATTTTGTCCTGTCAGCCACACCCCCTGACTTTATGTCACCTTATGTGGTTAATTTTCACATACATGTACTGCTGCAAACCTGTTTTTCCCTTGTATATGCAATCACAGATCAAACTTCATCAGCTGGTGTGTCACAAGTTCCTCAGTTGGTGTGTATAAAAGTACCTTGCCATCATGAAACAAGAAATGCCAAAAACAAAAGCATTTGCAATAACAAAAAACCCACATTTGTCCTTCCTTGAATAATCTTAGGATTAGTGCTTGAAATTGTTAGTGTCATAAATTACTTTTTAAATTTCATAAGGATTTTTCTTTGATGGACCAGCGTCAAACCATCTGACAAGTTAGATAGAATTATAACTTTAAAAGCCCTCATTTCTGAGGTGTCCATATTTTTTTTTGACTTTTAGGACAAAACATGAGCCGTCTACCTGAGCTTGAAATGGAATTTCACTGATTAGATATCTTTTTTTTATCCCATTGTTCTACGAAATCCATGTCAAATGTGTTTTTTTGTACGTAAAATGTCTTGAGAGTTTGCACCCAAACAGGTATGTGTTTCTGTGCCAAGAATATTTTTGTATTACAGTTTTGTAGTTTCAAACTTACACATTGCTTTTTGTATGAAAAAAGTTAATTTATTATCACTTTTCTGTCAAAACAAAAGATCTACAATTACCTTATGGTTCACCAATTTACTGGCCTCTTCTCCAGTGACAAGAATTTATTACTTTCCTATCACAATCAGTCAATTTGAGTTGTGCCAATGTGGACTGACTACACTCAAGGACCACGTACATTTAGGTTAGTCATATTATGAACTTGATGAAATGTTTTACAATAATGTTCAGTTCATTGTTTGCAATAAACATGAAAAAATAAATATGATCAAACAGATTTAGTTTAGTTTTTTAGGGTACAAAATCATCAAGCGCTTTGGGTACAATTTTGTTTAATGTACAAAATCACATAGGCCCTACATTCATCCAGTCGACGTGTGTATCTACTTTCATCCGTTCTGAAGATTGGGGAGGGGGAGTAAATGTTTTAAAAACAATCCTTAATATTCTAAATTGTCCTTCTTTCAATGACAGACCAATAACAATATTCTGTTGTTATTATTATGGCTTATCAATATGTTATATCGCTCTCCGCTGCCGTCGTTTTCAGAAAATAATTTTCAAATCATCGAGCGTGGAAACCTTTACGGTTTCGGATTTAGACTTACAAATTTGATGTTACGCACCGGCGGCAATCACGAATAAATATGAAACAAATAGGAGTGAAGACTGCTATCCAGATGAATAAATAGTAAACAGTTGTAGAAAAAAAGTAAACTATGTATTTTCTTTTGAATTTGAATCTATTTCGGAATTTGTTTTATGATCGCTTACCAACTTTTGCATATTTTGCTTCGATGTGTCATGCGGTACGGTGCTTCCGGTTTCAGAAATGATAGCTAAAATTGCAAGTATTTTCGATTATTTTCCGTAAACTGCATTGTATTGCTATTGTATGATTTACCTAGAATGTATATCAGTTCAGGTTTTGCGTATCATCCAATATTTGTCATTATTTTCAGTGTTTGTTGACTTTGTTCAACTAAACAAATCGCGAGTTAGGCCACGCCCAAACGTATCACTGACATTTGTCGGCTTGTCAATGTGTCCGAAAGTTTATCAAACGAAATCATTTGAA